ATACACAATTTTGAATCAAAATGAGCAAGATAATAAAGTTAAAAAATGACATGATCATATCATATGAGCAAATCAAAAAAGAGATTATTATAGGTTATTAATTTTATTAATAATTTTTTTATAATATTGTGTATTAGTTTATATGCTAGTATAAATTAAAGTTTTTTTATTTATAATTTATATCTATTTAAAACAATATATAAAAGAGACGAAAAATCAATTAACAAAAATTGATTTAGTAAAATTAATATGTCCTGGATTTTCAAATTCTTTAGAATTTGAAAATCACATTTTTTGAAATTTTGTTAAAGGTGTACATCTTTTATATTTATTACAACAAGAAGTAATAAATAATAAAATAATAAAATAATAATAATATATATTATATACTATATATAGCAATAATATATATACGCTAATATTATTAATAATTTTTATTTAAAATTTGATTTATTGTAAATTACTATAGAAAGTTTCAATTTTTGAAATTTGTGAAGAAGTCTTTTCTCAATAGGTATAATTTAATTTTACAAATTAAAATAAATAAATAATAAAATTAATAATACATTTTTAATTATAAAAAAACTATTTAATATAAAAAAATAATCTTATTATTCATGCTGATAATTATTCAGGTCAAAATAAAAATAATGCTATAATTTAATATCTAGTATGATGAATAATGAATGAATTTTATAATAAGATAAAATACTGCTTTATGATAGCTAAACATATAAATTTTTTTTGATAGATTTTTTAGTTTAATCAAACTAAAAATGTAATATTTAGATCTAAATCTTGCAGATCTTGTTCAAGTTATTCTTGATTATACTGTTAGAGAATTTAATACTGCTCAAATAATATATAATGTAAATAGTATTCATCAAGTCTATTTTTATAAACAGATAGAATTTTTAAGTAAATCATTCAATAGAGATGCATATATTTTTCAACAATATTATTTTGAAATATCAAATAAAAAACTTGAAATGGTAAATAAAATTTAATGAGAAAAAACAGAAATATTCATTTCTAAAAAAATAAATCTTATTATTCAACAGATTTTTTCTGATATATTATTATCTAAAAAATTATCTGCAAAATATCAATAGTATTTATATGATCAAATTTGTAAATATATTATTAATTTAGATAAAATAGATAAATATTATTTACGCTTATTTATACTAAAACCTAGTAAATTTAATTGAAGATAAATAGTTATTTTATTAAATCTGTAAAAAAAATAATTAATTAAAGGTCATAAATAAAAATTTAATATAGTTATTTGCATTATTTTTTAATAAAATAAATTATTATTTATTATTTTTAATAAATATACTGTTAAAATTATACCAAATATTAAAATTAAACGTAAAACTTATATATAAATATATATAACTATAGGATAAAAATTGGTGTAAAACCTAATTAGACTAATTTAAAAAAAAATGTTAAAATTTATTAAAAAAAAACAAAGAGAAAAATTACTTATAAAATTTACTTCAAATTAAAAAGAACTGTTTTAAACTATTATTATTAAAAAAGAAATTAAATTGATTTTCTAAATTTGTAAAATTAATTGAATTGTGTAATATATATAATTATATGATCCATATTCTGAATCTCAAAGTACTTGACTAGTTTATTTTACTCCTTAGATTGTTACTTTAATAGCTGTGACAGCTTCTGGATTTATGAAATCTGTTCTAATAATGGCTTCAGTTTTAAATGTAAATTGACTTAAAAAAATGAAAAATAACGTTAAAAACTATTATTAAAAAAAATACTATTCTTATCAATACTCACTATTAAAGAAATCTGCTACTCTATCTTTATTATTAGTAAATATATTTATTCTTTTAATTTGTCCATTACGAATCTAAAGTTAAAAAATATTTTAATAAAACCTTTATACATGTGATTTTAAAACCTATAACTGTAATTAAATAATAAAAATATAATACACTAATATTACAAAAAAATAATTTTATAATATAAATAGTAAAAAAAAATGTCATTTCTTCTAAAAATAATAATAGTAATGTTAAAGCTCTTAAGGGTAAGAGTCAGATAGATTCAACAAATTTTTCTATTAAAGAATTTATAAAAATAATATTGATCATTAAAACTAATACTTTAGCTGCTTCAGTTTTACTTTATTAATAAAGTTGAAAATAGTTTAACAATTCTATCTATTCTTATTATGCTTCAATGACAATGTGATATATTTTACTTTATTTATCTTTTCTAATAGTTCAAAGTTCTAATAAAAGTAAAGCTAAAGAATTAAGCAGTTTAACAAATAAAAAGCATTAGTAAATTTCTTAAATAAAAAATCAAAGAAATCCATCTGTCTTTCCAGAAATATATATCTGCCTCCAATTCTAAAATCAAAGTTTGAGACTGAAATCTACAAATAAAGTTAAAAAATGTTAATAACCATTATTTAATAAAAAAAAACCATCTCCTCTTCTATAAATACCTACTTATCTTCAACCCTAAAATAAGCTTTAATCTACAAAAATAAGTTTAAAGTGAAAAAGTTAAAAGTTTATTATTAAAAAAATAGCTATATTGCTGAAAATATCAAAAAAAAAACAAGGTTCTATCTTCAAATTCATCACCTTTCCTATAAAACAAAAAATTTACCTTAAGAAATATTTTGAACTTTATTGCTAAATTTATTAAGATATTTCTAAAAATTAATTGTTATCTAAAAAAAAATAGAAAAGAATTTGTTTTTAATAAAAAAAAAAATTTAAAAGTTTAAAAATATTATAAACTATTTTTTTATATAAATTTTTATTTTAATGTATATAAATAATAATATGTATTATCAGCTATTCAGAAATGACCATTATTAAAACTGATTTAAACTTATTTTTATCTAGTTTTTTTTTTATTATAAACTGAGTATTCAGAATTTCCTATGGTAAATATAAATTCTTATTATTTCAAAAAGTATGAAATATCAATTTGATCCTTTTTCTCAGCACTTCTCTCATATTAGAATATTAGTTTAAAGAATATTAAAAGGGTATTTATTTTGATAGATATAAACAAAAGGATATTATATATTAAAAAAAATTTTTAAAAATAATAAAATAATTAAAATAATAAATTGTTAGATATAAAGAAAAAAAAATAGAAATGATTCTGCCAGTACTTAGATTAAACAAATAAATAAAAGTTAATTCTTGATATTTATAATAAGTATATCTTTAATGCAAATAATAAAAAAAGAATTTGGATAGCTGATGGTAAAATGTCATTTTAAAAAAGAAAATAAAAGATAATGAAAGAATTTTTAAAAGTTTGTGATTAATTGAAACTTAATAAAAAAGAAATAGTAAGAAATCTGAATATTTTTTTTACAAAAGTATTATTATTTATTACCTGATAAGAAAGGCTATTAGATCTTTAAGCGTTTGTTAAAACAGATTAAATTCAAAGAAATTCCTATTTTTGAGACAAAATTTTCTAATGCTAACAGCTGTTTTTGCTTTGAATCATAGTATGAACCATGCAGCATATTTCAAAAATACTCTTATTGCAGCAAGAATGAACATCTTTTATGGATAAGAAATAACCCAATAAATGAAATGTTTAATATTAAATGGGTCGTTTAATTAATTTTAACTGGAATTATGATCGAAAAAAAATCAGAAAAATTTGCTTAGGTTATGTAATTACCCATAACTTTCTGGCAGGATTCCGCGTAATAGATAGAGCTATATCATTTAAACTTTAATTAAAATGGATCATTTATTTTAGATATCAGAAAATGAAGATTGGATTATATAAAGAATTAATTTTTTTATAAAAAAAGAACTTGATAAAATACGAATAAAGTTTCAATTATTGATTTATTCAAAAATGCTTAAATAATATTAAAAAAAAAAAAAAAATGGATGTTTCCGTATCTTTGAATTCAATTAACTAAAATCAAAATTATTAATTAGAACAGTGATCTGAATATTATATATATTTTCTTTCAAAAAAATGTTACTTTTACTCTAAATACCCCAATCTCCTGCACATTGCATTTATTGCATTCTATTTCATACAAAATTTCTTATTTTCTTGCTTTTTGCTTTCAGAGGATTTTCGTTGATTAAATACAGATATCAATTAATTTACCCAAATTCTTTGCAGCATAATCCAAAAAAGAGTATTTCATGGATGACGGAATCCAATTTTTAGTTAGTCCTCAATACAAGTATCTAAGTCTCCGGAAAAACACGTCGCTTGACAATAGAATAGTAATTTGAGCTGGATATGCCAGATTTCTCAATTCGATTTCTTTAATTCGGCCGAACCTCAGTTTCCAAGAAAGCTCCTAACTTGTAAAATTAATTTCGTCATTTATAATTTAATACAGTTGTTCAAGATTAATACTCTTACCACATTGGCCACTTCAACTTTTCGAATATGTTAAGCTCATGATAACATTTTCGACTTTTTCATAGCATTATATCTAAAGACTAGCGTTTTACGGTAATGATATTACTTATTTTTCAATACAGAAATAGAGAACAACACCTTGCGATGGTTTTTCAGTGGTTTATAAGGTTCAGCATCTTGATTTGTTCATGAAGATATTACTTTCTGTGTGTTTACGTGAGCCGAAATCCAAGAATTTAATGTCAGTAACCACCATATCATTTTTTTTTCACGAATCTCTTCAAAAATTCACTTACAGCATAAGTATTAATAGTTGGACGTTATATAATCTTCAATTGAATTTTCAAATCGACTTTTGTTACTTTTGTTTACTTACGAGAAAATTTTTATATTTTTTTCGCAAGGACAAAGATATTCGCTTTTCCAAATAATGTTAAGATTTTTGTGAAAAAATTCTTTTGGCTTTTTTCATGATTCTGATTCTTTATATATATATATATTTTTAAAAAAAATTAATTTTGTAATATCTTTTAATTTATCAAATAAATTTTAAAAAAACTCACCTAATGGTAATTGCTGAAAAAAAAATTATTTCAAAGCTTTCGTTGACGAATATACGAAACTAGTATTTTCGCTAATATCAAATGAACTAAATTTTTTGCATACATGGCCGTTTGAGAAGTATTCTCTGTTGTATATGAACAAGAATGGTTCGTTTTTTCGAATTTGAAGATGAAATGTTCTCGATTGTAGATCATTTTTCAATTAAAGACCTGCAAAGGCAAACCATAATAGCATGTCTGTTAGAAATTGCATAGCAAAGAAAATTAATAAGGTTTTTAATCTAAATTTTGGCCTGATAAACATACACATTTGTCTGCAAGTAGATATCTTCAAACTTTAAACTTATGTTCCAATTCGAACTTTTCGAAAAGCTTTTGCACTTACTCTTTAGATAAATTTGGATTCTGGAGAGGGTTTCGGACGTTGAATGATGAATCGTAATCATTGCTTGAGTTCAGCTCAATAATTCCAAAAGTTCCTATAACAACTACTGAAAGGATAGGATAATTCGAATTCGCGGTCATAACGTGCTTGATGGTGCGAAAGCAATGTCCAACTTCTGATACTAAGATATGGAACTATTGTGAAAGTGAGTATTATTTGGCCTTGTTTTATACTGCACGTTCTTACATTTTTTACAAATTAATAACAAATATAAAACAATGAAGACAACAATTACAATTATCAAAGATAAGCTGAATCTCGTTAACCAAATTTCTTACCGAAATTTTTCTTTATCTTCCTGTTTTCGTTTTTGAAATTCTATAGTATAAATATTTAGCTTAGTAAAATATACTTACACAAGATTTCATAATATATTACTGACCTTTCTGTGTATTTTAAGCGCCTCTGACCAATAAGACTTCAAATTCATTTTTACGTTCTGATTCTACCATTTGTTAGAAATTTAAGGTTAAAAATGCATATAGTAATAAGAGAACATAACTGATTTCTCCTTCTGAAACAGTAGACTCTTATTAACAACAAAGTTAGGGCGCCTGAATTGAGGACTTGGAGTGGATACCAAGCTGTCAAATACAGTAATTCTCCTGAGTCAAGACGCGGTCAACTAGGAGTTACCCTCACTATGCAGAATAAAAAAAAAATGCACCTTATTTTTTTCAACGCAATAAAATTTTTTTTCTGGAAGTGACGAGAGCACACGTATTTTCAAGACTATCACATATGTTTGCAGAACAACGATAATATAAAGGTTAAAGTTCAAGATTCTACGATATAATAACTTTGCTGCGCAAGAATAAGGATAGAAAGTCGAAAAGTTGGTTAGCGATTAATATTTCAAGTCGAATACCAGTTGACTTTAATATAAAATTCTAAAAAAAAAAAAATAAAATAAAATAAAACTCACCTTATGGTAAATTCTTGTAGATAACATTTACTATTAATTCCTGAACTTTTCGTTGACGATATAAGGTTTAAAATACGAACTAGGATTTCCATTGTGACCGTTAATATCAATCAAACCACCTTGCAAACAACTATGGCCGTTTGAGGAGTAGTCTTTGATTGTCTATAGACATGAGCGATCCGTTTTCCTTCATAACCACTTTCTGCTGCCTTATTAGAAACAGCAGAGCTATATCATTTTCATTAGTAATGTTTTTAAGTTTTTTTTTCTGATTTTTCGAGTTCAAGCTTATTACTCAAAGAGATTGATCAATTCTAACTATAATGGTAACTAGTTCAAACTTTAATATCCAATTTTTTGACGCGTAATATGTAGAAACTTTTGCTAGAATATTTCCAATAGCCATCATCAGAATCAAAAGTTCTAATTTTAATTTGTAAATTCCTTGGAATCTATTGGTTTCTGAGGTTTAAACTTTAAAATTATGATTATCCTATGTTGTGCTTTTCGCAGTCTCTTCGAATTTTCCTATTTGATTTCTCGAATGAAAATATAATCTTCGTTATTAAACACTGGTTTGTATTCTTTGATTATAAAATTCCAGACAGGCACTTTCATAAAATTCTTGCCAAGAATCATCGTTACATTGTTTTTGGCAGTTACACGTTAGATATCAAATTTTATGAACATCTTGTTGAACTTTTGTGACAAGCTCGCGGTTTGAGAGCTTCTTATTAAATTCATGAATCAGAAATATTCTTATTTAAGATTTCGATATGGTACTAATTTATGTGTAACAATGAATAGTTTTTAATTAAAATTGAAAATCAAAACGCGATAAAATAAAATACTAATATAAAAAATTTTTTTGTAATACCTTATTACCTACATAAATGGTTGTAGTTCATCCAGTAATGAATTCCGCTTTTGATGAAATAATTTCTTAAATATATGTGGTTTTAACGAAACGAGCCGAGTTGTCAAAGCACCCCTTCGCTAAAGTGTTTGAGTTTGATGGTCTCACATTTAGAGAAAAATCCACTTTCAAGTTAAAAGAAGTAAGAAAGATTCGGACTTTGTACATAATTCTTTTGAAGTGAAAAGTATCCTGCATACATCATTATCAGCATAAACTCTTTTGTCTCGGGATCATGTGTAATTCCATAGCATTCAGTAACATTTGTAAAACTCGAATTATTGCGACAATGATATAACGATTTTAACTAAAATTATAATAAAAGCAAATAATTTAATAAATGTTAATTAAAACTTATTTTATAAGATTAATATTAAATAATTACCTCGCTCTGTTGATATTTTGAGAATTTAAAAATCTTTTATTTATTTAAGAACATATTCTAGTTGATCGATAAATCCATCTTATGCTATCTTTACTAAAACTTGTAATTTGAGAATATGGAGTCCAATATAATCAATCGCCAATAAATATAATTAATAGAAGTATCAAATAAATTATTAATTCCAATTATATAATCAGCAATTTGACGACTTGTTTGAATTTGTCGAATAGAGAAATTCATCTATAATATCATTTCCACTGAAAAATTTGTGACATCAATAGTGATTAATACTAGTCTCTTGCATTTGTTTCACTGATATTGATTGATAATTCCAACAATCATATTTGTCTTTGTTTAAAATGTTCGTCCAAATACTTTGTAGTTGAATTGACACGGAGCTCAAGAATTGATGTTGGATTGGTCAGGCAATTGGAAGATGCTGTGATCACCAAGTCATTATAACGGTTGGTTTTCCCTTTGTGATGTGGCATTGACTCATAACTTCAAATCCTATTGATGAAATCCAATATGTGAAAATGCCAGGAAGCTGCTGTTAGTATACGCTCCCAATACGTTAAAAGATCCATCAACAGGCACTTGTGCTTTCTTGCGCGAATGCAAAGGTGCCAACCTGATATTTTCCTTGTAAAAGATGCAAACAGCATCATGATTTAGTATTTCGTTTGATGAGCAATACTTTAAGAAATACCGCAAGATCACAGAGCGTAAATGTGGTGAGGTCATCTTGAAGGTGTTATTTTGATTGTTTACAGTGAACAAAACCCATTCCTAGCGAGATAATTAGCGAATTATATCCTGTGATTTTCTGATAGTTACAATTTCGAGATTTGATAGAAATTGTAATCGCAAAATTTTGTTAACAAACAACTATGCCCTTTTGAGGAGTAGTTTTTGATCGTCTATAGACAAGAGCGAACCGTTTTCTTTAGACCACTTTCTGCCGTCTTATTGCCGGGTTTTAGCAAAACAGCAGTGCTATTTAATTTAACTAGCAATGTTATTAAGTTTTTCGATTTGTCGAATTTAAGATCAAGCTTATTACTCAATGAGATTAATCCATCCTAGAAATAATGGTTCATTTTTACTAAATACTTTATTTTGACGCGTTCATAAGTAGAAACTTTCTCGATTGTCGTTGAATATTTCAAATAATCATCATCAGAATCAAAAGAAAATCCTAAGTTCCCAATTTTTTGTAGCTACTTTGGAACATAATTGCTGAGGTCGCTGCAGTCGTAGCACCATGACTAAAGATTTATAATTATGATTATGCTATGCTGTGTCTTTCGAATTTTACTTTTACAACCGCCGAATGAATTTTCGTTATTAGATATTCTTTGGCGATAGTATAATGTTAGGTATCAAATTGTATAAACATATTGCGATTGAGAGCTCCATATTAAACCCATCAGTGCTTTGAATCCAAAGTATTCGATAGTTCATTTATTAAGAGGAAAGGAAGAAGTTTGAGTTTAATATTTAAGGTTTTGATATAAGCCATACTAATTTACGCGTAACAATGAATAGTTTTGAATTAAATATCGAAACGCGTTAAAATATAATAAAATAAATTTTTTCTCGTTTTACCTTATACCAGTAATGAATTTCCACCCTTTATGATGTAAGGTCTTAAATATGTGATCACTCATTAGTACTAAAAGAAACGAGCGAGCCAAGTTGTTAAAGACGCCTCCGCTGAAGATGGTGAGGATGAATGGTCTCATTTAAAAATAACTTCCAAGTCAAAAGAAGCAAGAAAGAATTGTAATACAGTCCAAAAATCACACGAGGTGACGATTTTGATGCGATACTATTCATTACGTAATTGTAAATCCGGTTACGGAGTTTGTATACGTCACGCGTGAGAACTAGGTGTAATAAAATTATGCTAAATTATGCGTTTATAATTTTGGCTAGAATTATTAAATTAATTTATTTAACATAAATGATAAAACTGAAAGCCAAATATACAGTACTGTATATTAATGCTATATTAGCTAATATTTTTCTAAATCAAAATCTCTTCTAATTAATTATTTCATTAAAATTACTATAAATTTCCTATTCTTGAATTAAATTTAAACTTGAAATTTTAAATTTAAATATAATAGAAGATGTAAATATTATTTAAGAATTAATATATTTTGGATCAAAATATATTTTTCAAATTTTTGTAATATACTTTTATATTGCATTAATAAAAATATCTATAAAATAATCAATATTACTTGAAATTTTAATTTTATTTCTTTTAATAATGCATTATTTCAGATTTTAATAATATATACTATAATTTAAAAAATAAATTGAATTTAATTATCATACCATTCTGAAAATAAGTATCCTGTGATATGCTTTTTTTATGATAATTTTTTTATTTATCATGTGAATTTTATCATATTATTTATCATTTACTACTTATTTTCAGAACAGTATGGTATTTATTAATATTAATAAATATATAAAAAATAAACAATCATATCTTTAGCATTAAAATGAATAAAATAAATAAATATTTTAATATTATTATATATATAGTATTATTAAAATAATTATATTAATATATATTTTGTATTAATTTAATATAATAAATATTTATTTTTTTAAAATAAAATAATATAGCTAATATTTAATACAAACTAGATCTTACTATTTAAAATAAATGTGTATTTTACTATCAATATATATTTTTTGATAATCATATAACAGCCTATATAACAATCTTATTATATTAATAATTAATAATATATATACTATTATAATTTAATATATATTAAATATTATATCATATATTATATAATTTATATTATTATATATATATTAATATTAATATTTTTATGTTAATAGTATTAATATTTTTACATTTATAATATTAATATTTTGTATTTATATTATTAATATTTTTATGCTTATAATATTAATATTTTTATATATATTATATTAATAAAATATAATTAAAACATATATTATATAATTATTATAATATAAATTTAAAAATACATCTTATAATCTACATTATACTAATAATGTAATTTATATTTATATATATAGTTCTTTTTAATTTATCATCTATAACTTTAAATTAAATTAAAATCTATAATTAAAAATCATAGATAGAAATGTAAAGATCTATGCTATTAAAATCCCTTTATCATATATGACAATTTATTCAATTATTTTATTTTAACTTTATATATTATCTTGTTACTAATTAATACTTAAAAGATATTACCTTAAAAATAATAAAAAATACAGTCTACCCTTAATATTCCTTAAAACTGTAGAGATTCGCAAGCAAATTTATCTGCTTATTTACTATAAATTCCCTTCTAATTTACTTTTATGAAAAATTAAAATTTTTAAAAAATTTTTTTTTTTAAATTAATTTTATAAATATACATAATATTATAATAAATTTTATTTTTTAATTATATAATAAATAATTTAAGGTTACTTATAAGTTAAAAATTTGTAAT